ACTTATGGCGCCTACTGTTCACTTGACTCAATTATCAATCATTTCTCTTCAATCTATCTCCGGCTTATATACTAAAAAAAAAAAGAGGGCGTCTAGCAAACGCTGGGACATTTGTGAGGTTGCCCGATCCTTCTAGAAACTCCAGCGCGTGACTTCCGCTGTTTTAACAATATATTGCTAATCATAGTCTCAAATCTCTCTTATTACAATCTAACATACTTTTATTATAATCTAACGTAAATTTTAGATGTTTTCAAAGGCTATTAAGACTTTCAGTTTAGCCAAAAAAAAGAAGTCACCAAGTAGAGAACCAGCTTAACAGCTGATTATTTTGGTGTCAGAAGGACTAGCTCACCAATAATTGAAGTTGTTGCGGTGATTTATACACCAAAATGTAGCATTTTAACTTGGTGATTGTAGAATCAGTATAGCGTTTCACTAACTTCAACACATGATGTGAATATCTGAGGTCATTCTACAAGTGCAATAAAGAATCTGACAAAACTAATATTGACAATAAACATTAACATTGAATTTTAAAAATAAAACAAAGGTTTGCTTACACACAGATTACAATTGGTATTGTTTAGAAAATGAGGGGAACAAGTAATAAAAATGTGAAAAAAAAGGATGATGTACGGATGACAATGCCAAAAAAGTACAGAACAGGGTAGGGACAAATACAGAAGCCCCCCAGTGGCGCAACGGTATGTCTGCGGACTTACAACGCTTCGCAGAGCTTTGTGCTTAACTTCAAAAACAAACAAATACAGAAAAACTATACAAAAAATCCCCACATAAGAAAAACTTTGATCTGCAGGTAAATGTTGAATTCCTTTCGTTTGTATGAATTCAGGTTTGAATAAAAGTATTTAAACTGAATAACGCTATAAAGTATTACAATGGTTAATTCCATAAGTTTGTAACATTGACTCAGTGGCTAATTATATAGAGATTTTTGTATGTTTTTTTTTGTATTCATCCCTACCTTGTTTCTATACTTTTTGCCATTGACATCCCTACATCATCCTTATTTTTTTTAAATGTTTTTATTATTTGTGTATATAATATTCCACTTAATAACACTGCTTTCGCTCATATGGCACAGCACACGATTTATATGCGGGAGGTCAAAGATTCAATCCAGTCTCTATTCGTTTTTGATATTTTTTTCTAAACAGTATTTCATTCTATAGTCAAATAATTTTAGTACATACATCGCACGCGAAGCACGAGTTTATCCCATAGTGTTAATGTTAAAGCAAAAAATTTATCTTCTTCTTTTGATGCATTAAAAAGAGTTTGTTTGTTTGAAGTTATGCACAAAGCTACACAATGGACTATCTGTGCTCTGCCCACCACGGGTATCGAAACCCGGTTTCTAGCATTGTAAGTTCGCAGACATACCGCTGTGCCACTGGAGGGCTCCATTAAAAAGAGAAATAGACCAAACTTTTCAGTTTTCTTTCTTCTGTATTTAACTACCACGTGCTTTTCACGATCCATTTTGATAATTTACGCACCTGTAAACCTCGTCTTGAGCCATCCCCATTGTCTGTGACTACACAGGTTAAGAACCTTGATGTTGCCATACACTTTAAAGTGTGACCATTCGCAGGAACAGATAATTGTTTACACTAACTCTTACTGGGAAGGTAACATTAAAGGACAATCCGCCGCAAAATTCTCCTATTCCACGATTACAAAGGCATCCAAAACACAAACAAATTAGAGTTTATAATAAAAGGATATCTGTAGTATTGAACCATATCAGGGATATCTGTAGTATTGAACCATATCAGGGATATCTGTAGTATTGAACCATATCAGGGATATCTGTAGTAATGAACCATATCAGGGATATCTGTAGTATTGAACCATATCAGGGATATCTGTAGTAATGAACCATATCAGGGATATCTGTAGTAATGAACCATATCAGGGATATCTGTAGTAATGAACCATATCAGGGATATCTGTAGTATTGAACCATATCAGGGATATCTGTAGTATTGAACCATATCCATAAAGACGCAATATGAGCATGAGAAAACAACAACAACACAAAATATAGGCTACTCCACGACCGACTTGCAGTCGCAAACAGGAGGCAGTGAATAAACCTAAATAACGTGTCACTTGGAATTAACCCTAGAACACGCATCTAAATTAAGAACATCCTTAAGTGTGTGAAAAAGTGATACGACATTTTCTACATAGTAAAGAACATGTTGAGGAAGTCCCCGTCCCTCATGGATTTATAGTGGTTGTAGGTTACAACCATATTGGGTAGTTTAATGTACAGTGAGTTCAGAAATAAAATAAACAGTATCAGCAACCACACTCCTGTATTTATGAAAAGAATAGAACGAACTGTGTCAGTTAACTTTTGTTGTTGTTGTTGCATTCCTAAAACGGATAAAACAAACCCTTATAAATTCCTTTTGTCTGGATATCCAGAAAGATAGAACAAACTGTCTCAGTTATATTTACCTACGTTCATTTGCTGGCTTTTCTTCTCTATGACTCATCAATATATTTAGTTAATATATCCTTCCCTCTCTACCACAGACCTTCCTAATTGTACAATTCTGCATCTCTAGTCCTACTACATTGTTTCGTAATACTTAATGCATTATTAGTTCTAGTACTTTGTATATCACACGCTAAGCATTACTAGTTCTACTGTTTTGTATTACCATACTTTATTCACTTATAATGCTACTGTTTTGTATTACCATACTTTATACACTTCTAATGCTACTGTTTTGTATTACCATACTTTATACACTTCTAATGCTACTGTTTTGTATTACCATACTTTATACACTTCTAATCCTACTGTTTTG